CACTTCACACCCAGGGAGCTGAGGCTGACGGCACTCAAAGATTATTTGGGCACAAAATTTTTGAAATTGCTGTATGGTGCTTTCCATAATAACGTTTCGTGAATGAGTCCAATGCCCCTTGTGTGTGTGCATGTACAGTTCTCTGGAACATTCCACGGAGGCCTCGTGAGCTTCTCCCATGGGTCGCTTAACGCTGTCCTGACTCCACTTCCGGAAGGATTCCTCTGTCTCTCCCTGGGCGAGGTGCTGGCCCCGCCGTGAGCTCTTTCCTGGCTGCTCGCAGCCTGCCGGGGTGAGCGAGCGCAGGTTCGTCCTCACGTGTCCCTCTGGCAGCCGGCTGCTTCTCACGCCTGCTCTGTGAGCTGGCCCTGGAGCGTGAGAACTGGCTCCTGGTCCCTGTGCCGCGGCCACCCACCCTCCCCGTGCCCAGGACGGGTGTCTCTCCCTTTCCGCGGCCCGCCCCACTCGACACCCGCACTGCCTGTGCTCATGAAGCGCCCACTGCAAAAAGATCGCTGGGTTTGAGCTGAGATGTTCTGTGTCCTTCTGGAAGGCTCCTTGGTCTGGTTTTCCCCGGGCAGTGGGGGGAGGAAGTCGGAAGGTGAGCCCGACCTGAAGAGGCTCTTGTGTTCACGATGAACTGCCATAGGGCTATGGGTCAGTCACACGTGCCAAGCTCACCCTGACAGAATGTTCTAGAACCGCTGGGGGTTGCACCCCAGCTCGCCTTTCACAGGCGTTCTTGCTAAAGCAGTCACCCCCTGCAGGTGTTTGCTGGAGAAACGCAGTGACAGCAGAAGCTCCCGTTCCCCACCTCCTGCTGTGCTAACTGCCTGTCGATGTGGTCCAAGGCAGAGAGCCTGCAGGCTTGTAGGACCCAGGTGGCCGTCCCCGCACTGCAGACGGCAGCCACATGCAAATGGTGGAGGCTGCGCTGGGCCTGCGCCAGAGGGCAAAGACGGCACGTTTCCTGCCAGGTCCCAACCCGCCTGACCACCGCCCCCACCCTGCTTACTCGGTTTTGGCAGTCGGCCAGGCATGGCAACGGGGAACCTCAGGCCTGGGCAGCGGGGCAGGGGGCGGGGCTGAGAAAACAGCTGCTGGGGCTTGGAGAAAGTCGGGGGTGGTGTGCATGGGGCGACTGGTATTGGCTCAGCAGAATGGCTGGTGCCTCTCTGAAGCTTTGATCTCTGCCCTTGCCTTGACCCAGGGGTGCTCGCTGTCCCCCCCAGACCCCTCTCAGGTGCAGTCACAGGCTGCCCCTGCCAGGATCTGGTTCTAAAGTCAGATCATAGTCGGCCTCCCAAGGTCAACATTGAGGGCTGCTCTGGGCCCTGTGGGATGTTGAGAGAGCTCCACCCACCAGATGCCAGGAGCCCCTCAACATCCAAGAATGACACCCCAAACGTCCCCAGAGGGTAGAGTCAGCCGCACTTGAAGCCATTGTTCGGACATCCAGACAAGTGGAGACCTGCATACAACAGTGATGGGTCGGATAAGGAGCGGGAGGTTGGCAGAGGGGCGAGATGGCATTCAGTAAACGAAGGACAACAGAGGACGGACAGGGACATCGGCGCCCGATGGGTGAGACAGACGGCAGTTGCAGATTGATGCATTGAGTAACTGATGACGGAAGGTTGACAAGCAGACAGTGGAAATATCATTCATGAAAATGAATGGCTGATGGAGACAGGCCTCCTCGGAATGACCCTGACCAGTGACCTGTGGCAGAACTGGACGTGGCACCTGCAGGTGCGTTCAGGGTCCGTCATGGTGCCACCTACTGGCATGCCCTAGCTAACAGTGTTCTGTGTGGATGGTGCTGAGTGGGTGTGCCAGGAGCTGTATGGACGGTGCTAGGTGCTGAGTGGACGGTGCTGTGTGGACGGTGCTAGGTGCTGAGTGGATGGTGCTGTGTGGATGGTGCTAGGTGCTGTGTGGACGGTGCTGTGTGGATGGTGCTGTGTGGACGGTGCCTGGTGCTGTGTGGATGGTGCTAGGTGCTGAGTGGATGGTGCTGTGTGGACGGTGCTAGGTGCTGTGTGGATGGTGCTAGGTGCTGAGTGGATGGTGCTAGGTGCTGAGTGGACGGTGCTAGGTGCTGTGTGGATGGTGCTGAGTGGACGGTGCCTGGTGCTGTGTGGATGGTGCTAGGTGCTGAGTGGATGGTGCTAGGTGCTGTGTGGACGGTGCTGTGTGGACGGTGCTGTGTGGACGGTGCTGTGTGGACGGTGCTGAGTGGATGGTGCTGTGTGGACGGTGCTGAGTGGATGGTGCTAGGTGCTGAGTGGATGGTGCTAGGTGCTGTGTGGACGGTGCTGTGTGGACGGTGCTGTGTGGACGGTGCTGAGTGGATGGTGCTGTGTGGACGGTGCTGAGTGGACGGTGCTGAGTGGACGGTGCTAGGTGCTGTGTGGACGGTGCTGTGTGGACGGTGCTGTGTAGGTGTGCTAGGTGCCGTGTGCTTGACCTGGACCTGCCAAGATGAAATGGACACAGCCCAGGGTCCAGGGACAATGGGCAGGTCGACAGAGTGCTGCCCACACTGCTGCCCAGTGCACACCCCAACTAGAGGCCGCTCCCAGGGGAGCTGTCCTTAGCCGGAAATGCCTACAGATCAAAAGTTGGCGAGTGATGGGCAGAGACCAGTGGGGGAAAGGAGAAGGTCTGTCCACGCGGGAGAATGTTCTGGAGCCAGGTGGGACATGGGCAGTGTGCTGACCACCTTGAGCCGTGCGACAGCATCAGCACCTCCTAACTGCCGGATATGGCCGTGGCGAGCAGACGCCTGCCCGCCGGACGGTCTCAGAGGCGAGCAGACGCCTGCCCACGGGACGGTCATCGAAGGCAGGGTCAGTGTCCAAGACCACAGCATTTGCTGTCCCTTGAGCATGGGACACCTGGAGCTCAGGCCCAGGGCTCAGGGACCAGGAGAACGGAACACACTTTCTCATGTTAATCACAGCGTGACAGCTGCACGGATAGGCTTGTCACTGCTAGGAGATAAGGCTGTCTCCACACACCCTCTCCCCTCCCCACCCCTCCTCTCCCTCTCTCTCCCCACCCCTCCTCTCTCTCCCCACCCCTCCTCTCCCTCCCTCCCCACCCCTCCTCTTCCCCTCCCTCCCCACCCCTCCTCTCCCTCTCCCTCCCCACCCCTCCTCTCCCCCTCCCTCCCCACCCCTGCTCTCCCTCTCTCTCCCCACCCCTCCTCTCCCTCTCTCCCCCCACCCCTCTTCCCCTCCCTCTCCACCCCTCCTCTCCCTCTCTCTCCACCCCTCCTCTCCCTCTCTCCCCACCCCTCCTCTCCCTCTCTCTCCCCACCCCTCCTCTTCCCCTCCCTCCCCACCCCTCCTCTCCCTCCCTCCCCACCCCTCCTCTCCCTCTCTCCCCACCCCTCCTCTTCCCCTCCCTCCCCACCCCTCCTCTCCCTCTCCCTCCCCACCCCTCCTCTCCCTCCCTCCCCACCCCTGCTCTCCCTCTCTCTCCCCACCCCTCCTCTCCCTCTCTCCCCACCCCTCCTCTCCCTCTCTCCCCACCCTTCCTCTCCCTCTCTCCCCACCCCTCCTCTTCCCCTCCCTCCCCACCCCTCCTCTCCCTCTCTCCCCACCCCTCCTCTCTGCCTCCTGTTCTGAACTGTGCCGGGGCTCTCCTTTCAGAGGAAACACTTCTACAGCCACTTTCAAAGACAAGCTGATTTTCATGTAAGACAGGTTAGGAATCCCTGCTGAGTCTCTGTTCTTTGGCTTGCTTTCCCTGAACTTCCTGAAGGCTCCACCTCAGGCTGGGATGTCAGCCGGGACAAACCTCAACCCGAGGGGGCGACGTCATGGTTGGGGTCATGGCCACTGAACACTGAGAAGTCCTGGAGCCTGTGCCGGCCCGCCTCGTGTCTTAGGGTGTGTCAGACACTCAGTGGAGCTGATCAAAAACAGGAAGGGCTGATGGGGGCACTACAGTCCCCACTTGGGGACGCCCCGTCTCCCGGTCCAGGAGTCTCACACGTGCCTGTGTTCTGGCGTGTGGCCCCACGAGGGCCTCGCCTAAGGCACCGAGCTGCCCACACACGCAGCAGGGCCGTCCACTCCCCAGAGTTCACCCCGCCGGGGGAGCAGCCCCTGGCGGCACCTATTGTGGGCGACTTCCACGCTGCCAGGTGGCAGTGAGGTGTGGGCGGCCGCCGCGTCGTCAGCTCGTGCAGCCACCGTGGCTGCGCTGCACGGAGGGTGGCATGCAAATGTCCCCAGTCCAGAGCCACCTGCACAGTGACGGCCACGGCAAGGCCCCAGTCCCGTGAGGCAGAAGCGAAACCAGCACCTCCCCCTCACCCCAAAGGGGTCTGAACACTGTCCTGGGGGAGAGCCTAAAGGCCTCTTCCTGTCCCAGCAGGAACACTGGCCCACCCTCTGCTGGCCAGGCCCCGGGGCACGCTGCAAAGCAGGTGGTCTGCAGCTGGCAGGAGGCTACAGCTTTGGGGGGCATGCAGGGGTGCACTGGGGGGTGGGGGAACAGCAGCCGGCCCTCCGTCACCTCCCTTCACACTTTGCATATTTACGCATGCGCTCTATTCCCTTTTCAGAACACACCACTGACTTGGGGGCGGTGTGGTCGGTGCTGGCTTTGTGCCACCCCCTCTGCCTGGACCCTCGTCCGGGCCTCTCTTCTGCCCCTGCTCCTGGGAGGTAGCAGAACCACCTTAGGCACCTGAGCCACTGCCACCCCCACCCCACGCCCGGCCTGGGGGACCTGGGTGCAGCTTCCGGCCAGCCTAGCTGTAACAGGCATTCGTGGGCTGACCTAGTGGAGAGCCGTCAGCAAAGCCCAGGAAAGAATGGGGCTTTTGGGGAGGCTTCTGCTGCGTGGCCGGGACCCCAACACGTGGCCTCTCTGGTGGGGGCCTCCGTGGGGGGCGGTCCCCGTGGGGCACTGGCAGTGGGAGGAGAGGTGGCACGGGCTCACTGTCCTCTGGGTCTGCACGACATCCGCCCCTTGCTTTGCAGACACCCGGTTCCGCTGAGGATACTGCAGCCGGCGCCGCGATGGACGTGGCAGCGGACGCGGGCTGGGCCGTGGCGGACCTGGCACTGGACATGAACGCGTCAGGCCCCGACAACGCCACGCTGCTCATGCTGCAGAACCCGGCCATCGCCGTGGTCCTGCCCGTGGTCTACTCCCTGGTGGCACTGGTCAGCATCCCCGGCAACCTCTTCTCCCTGTGGGTGCTGCTGCGTCACATCGGGCCCACGTCACCCTCGGTCATCTTCATGATCAACCTGAGCGTCACGGACCTCATGCTGGCCGCCGTGCTGCCCTTCCAGATCCACTACCACTGCAGCGGCCAGCACTGGGCCTTCGGCGGCACGCTCTGCACAGCCGTCACCGTGGCCTTCTACGCCAACATGTACTCCAGCATCCTGACCATGACCTGCATCAGCGTCGACCGCTTCCTGGGCGTGCTGTACCCGCTGGCCTCGGCCCGCTGGCGCCGCCGCCGCTACGCCCTGGCTGCCTGCGCGGCCTGCTGGCTGCTGCTGCTGACCGCCCTGGCCCCGCTGGCCCGCGCCGACCTCACCTACACCGTGGAGGCGCTGGGCATCGTGACCTGCTTCGACGTGCTGCCGTGGGGCACGCTGCCCAGCCCGGCCATGTGGGCCGCCTTCCTCTTCTCGCTCTTCGTCCTGCTCTTCCTGGTGCCCTTCGTGGTCACCGTGGCCTGCTACACGGCCACCATCCTGAGGCTCCTGCGGACCAGCGACCCGCACGGCCGGGCCCGGCGCCGCCGCGCCGTGGGGCTGGCGGCCGTGGTGCTGCTGGCCTTCGTCACCTGCTTCGCGCCCAACAACTTCGTGCTGCTGGCGCACATGGTGGGCCGCCTGTTCCTGGGCCGCAGCTACTACCACATCTACAAGCTCACGCTCTGCCTCAGCTGCCTCAACAACTGCCTCGACCCCTTCGTGTACTACTTCGCCTCCCGCGAGTTCCAGCTGCGGCTGCGGCGTTATCTGGACTGCTGCCGCCGGGCGCCCGCCGACGACCTGGACGCCCGCAGGGACAGCCTCTTCTCCGCCAGGACGCTGTCCTCGCCCGAGGCCGGCCGCAGCCGCCCCGACAGACGGGAGAGCGAGTTCTGAGCCCGGCCCAGGGCCGCAGCCGCCCGGACAGACGGGAGAGCGAGTTCTGAGCCCGGCCCAGGGCCGCAGCCGACCCGGCAAACGGGAGAGCGAGTTGTCACGTGTGGTATAGGGAGGAGGGCGTGCCACAGGGTGCCATGGGTGCCACACGGACGGCTGAACACTAGATGGCACAGCCTAGACATTCCCGTCAATCTCCTGGGCACTGGGGAGAGCTGACGAACCCCCGGGGGCTCCCACCACACGCAGTCCCTTGCGACCCCACCAGACTCAGCCCGGCCTCTGCCTGCTGCTCTTGACCATGGCCCTACCGGGCTGAGGTCCTGAGGGCGTGCCCGGCCACACAGAGCCGGCCCCCAGGGACCTGCAGGCTGAAGAAGTGACGGGTCAGAACTGTGCACGGTTAATGCGCTAAGTCCCAAGTTCAAGTTCACAGCAATCTATGCCGTCCTGAAACCTTAGGGATTTGCTGTGGGATCTTGGACAAGCTTGCTCCATGCTGGGCCCCAGGGGACCCCGTGCCCAGCAGGCAAGTCACTCTGTTCTCCGCATGTCTGGGTGGGGGTCATGGCTCCCCACAAGGGGTAGTGAGGCTGTGGCGACGGACCCTACGAGGCCCCTGGACGAAGCTCACAGAGAGACCAGCCAGGGGGTAGCAGGCTTGCCGTGGCCTGTGCGCCAGCATCTCCTGCTGGAACCCTGGCTGCTGCACTTCCGACTCCTGGCTAACAGGGCAGGTGGTGGTGCACCTGTGTGGGACACCTGATGGAGCCCAGGCTCCTTGCTCCAGGCCGCTCAGCTCTGGCTGTTACGGGCAACTGGGGGAGTAAAGCAGCAGATAGAAGCACACTCTCTCTGCATTTGTAATAAATAAATACATGCATTGGAAAAAAAAAAAAAGCAAAGAGAAGTCTGCTGACACCCAGCATGTCTGAGGGGGTTCTCGCTGGCTTCTCCCCGAGAGGCCCTCCCCCGCGTTGCAGTTTGTCTCTGGTGCGGAGACCCGGCTCATCTGCTTATATTCCTTGTCCTGTGAAGCGTCAGCGTCCCCTGTGGTGGCCCTGGAACACAGGTTCCAGGTGCACGGACCAGCGGAGCACACAGGCTCGGCCCTAAGCGCCCACCGGGCCAGGGCGCGTCTCTGCTGCCACCTGCTGGGAGCTGCGGGACTCTGAGGACCACAGTCCACGCTTCGTGCAGGGGTGATGCGCCCGCAGCTGCGGGCTGCTTGGGGCTCCTGGGCAGAGGGCCTGTGGCGGGGACCCCTGTGCAGCCCCTGGGATCCAGGCCCTGCCCTTGCTGGCTCGGTGACCCCGGCACCAGTTGGCCAGGTTGGGGAGGGTGTTTCCAGCAGCCAGGGCCACCCCACCACTCAGCCAGGGTTCTGGTTGGGGTCCTCGGGGCCACAGCACCCCTGTCCCTTCTCCTGGACCCTGTCAGGAGAGCAGCTGCCCCAGGCCAACCTCCCCTCTGCTGTCCAAGGCCTGGCAGCTCTCTTCAGCCCCACTCCCGGCGTGGCGGCCCCAGGCTCCCAGCCTCGGCCTGGCCCAGCTCTGGCCGTTGTGGCCTCCGCCTGGCCCAGCTCCGGCCGTCATGGCCTCGGCCTGGCCCAGCTCTGGCCGTCGTGGCCTCCGCCTGGCCCAGCTCCGGCCGTCGTGGCCTCGGCCTGGCCCAGCTCTCATCTGCAGGGGAAGCAGTGGCTGTTCTCTTGCATGCCTTCTTCCTTTCTATCACTATCAATGTTTTAATATTTAGTTGCAAAGCAGAGTTTCAACAGAGACCCCAAACTGGAGGCGGCCAGGGCTCGGGGTCCAGGCTCCTGTGCCCCCAGACTGGGCAGCTGGATGAGGGGCCTGCAGCCAGGACTGCCTCACAGAGCCCACCTGACCAGCTGGGGGGCCGGCCTGTGCCAGGACACGCTGGAGCCCTCGCGAAGGGGGTGCAGACGGCAGGCCCTCGGAGTCTACAGACGGGCCAGGGATGGCTAGGGCACTCCTGGTGGGAGCTGAGCGCCCAGGAGCGGGGAGCCGAAGCCCAGACGTGAAGATGGGAGAAGTACTGGGTGGACACAGGGCTGGGGCCCTCACACTGCACGTTCACGGCCACCCAGCGACTACGGCTGGGCCAGTGGACACCAAGTCGGCAGGGGCTGACAGGTGCCCACCCTTGCCACCCCCACAGGGGGTCCTGGCATCTGGAAGGAGTGCCCGATCACCCACACCAGCGGCAGGATGGGGTGAGCAGAGCCCGCGGGGAGGGGCACAAGCTGTGGTATGCGGAGCAGCCCGTCGCCAGCTGGCCGTCCTCGGGGCCGCTGCCCCCGGTTTGTCACCTCAGGCCAGCTTCTCGAGCTCGTCCCCACCGCATCCTGACAGCTCCGAGTCCCCTTCCCACCCGGCTGGCCGAGCTGAGCCTGGACCCTCCTCTCCCCGTCACCCCAAGCGCTGGGACAGAGAGACCGGAGCCAGACAAAGACTGGAATTGCATTTATTGGGGGCGGAGGCCCGGGGCCCCTGCCCGTGGTCAGGTTAGCGCTCTGCCCTGAGAGGCGCCAGGCACCTGGCACCTCCACCCGCTGCCAGCCCAGGTTAGTGGAGCATGCAAAGCTCAGCCGGAGGAGGGGGCGCCGAGGTCGAGGTCGGGGGGCTGGTGGAGGAGCGGGCGTGGCGTCGGTGCGGGCCAGAAGGAGCCGAGTCTCACCTGGGAGCGGGGATGGGCAGGTGGGGACCCCCCCAGCCACGCCTCACATGCCGCCCTGGGTTGGGTCGCTGGGGCCTGGGGCGGGAGGAGGGGACCCAGAAGGCACTTTGGGGAGCTGAGGTCGGGGGCCAAGAGGCCTGGGTCCTGGGACTGAGTGTTGGGGGTGGAGCGGGGCTGGGCTGGGCCCCACCCTGCCCCCCAGCCCGTGGGCTCCGCAGCCTGAACTCTTACCCTCCCATGGGGAAGGGGCTTCTCGGGGCAGGCCCGGGACCCTGTCCTCGGCTGGCAGCTGCCCTCCCTGCCTGGTGAGACGGGAGGAGTGGACAGGGGACCCGGCTCTGGTCGCCCCCACCCCTGCCCAAGGCACCTGGCTGTGGTGGCAGGGAGAAGGGAGTGGGGAGACCCTAGCGGGCGAGGCGGTGAGCGAGGCTGGGCTGGCCCCGTCCCTGCACGCGCGCACATAAATGCACACATCAAAGTGTTAGTCTGGTCGATTTTGGTTAAACTTGAGGCACCGCGTAAGAGGAAGACACCGTGAAATACTGGAGAGAGACCCGGGCGCCTTGGAGGGGGCCAGGCCGCATGCAGCGCGGGGAGGGGGTGCGGGCACGGGAGAGGGCGGGGGCCGCTCAGGCCACGGCTGACTCGGGCCCCCCCGGGGAGGCCGCGGGCCCCGAGGACGAGGCGTAGCGGCGGCCGTAGCTGGAGGAGGAGTAGGAGGCGGAGGAGAAGGACATGGAGAAGCCGGACCCTGTGCCGTCGAAGCTGCCACGGCGGGAGCCGGCGCGGGAGCCGGCGCGGGAGCCGGCGCGGGAGCCGGCGGCAGAGGCCGACCCGCTGACGCTGTAGGGGCTGTAATAGCCCTTGCTGGACTGGGCAGAGGCCTCGAGCAGCCGCAGCCCCGTGCCGTCCTCCACCATGCTGCGGTCCAGGGCGTCCTTGTAGGAGATCTTCAGCTTGGTCTTGGGGCACGTGAGGTACCTGGAGTAGGCGCCCACGTCGCGCAGCTTCTGGGCCGTGCGGGCATCCACGGTGCCGCGCTGCAGGGCCTCGTCCAGGGGCACGCGGCCTGGCACATCGGGCTCGATGAGGCCGCCGGTCAGGTACTGCACCTCCAGGAAGCGCTGGCCGGCCTCGTAGTACAACCAGCCCTTCTTGAGCGCCTGGGCGGCCGACATCTTGGTCTTGGTGCGTGGGTCCTCGAAGCCGCTGAAGGCCTTCTGGGCCAGGCTGATGCGGTCCACCATGATCCTGTCCACCAGGCCCTTGCTCACGGCCTCGGCCACGGGGAAGCGCTCGCCGGTGGCGGGGTCGATGATGCCGCCCGTGCAGGCCTGCGCCTCCAGCAGCCGCTGTCCCGTGATGTTGTCCACCAGGTTGCGATGCATGGCCTCCGTCACGGACACCTTCTCCAGCGTCTCCGTGTCCAGGATGCCGGCCACGGGGCCCGTCTCCTCGCCGGGGTCGGACCAGGCGGCCGGCTGGGCCCTGGAGACGGCGGGGCCGGTCGAGTAGGAGGAGGACGAGGAGCCCACGGAGGAGGAGCGGGAGCGGAAGCCGCCGGCGTTGCCCGACAGCATGTCGGCAAACTCGGTGATGGAGAGCGTGCCGGCGCGGTACTGGTCCAGGGCCGAGCGGTCGATGAAGTTCTTGGCGATGGCGTCGTCGATGTCGTACTGGCGGCCCGAGCGGCGGTCGATGATCATGGACTTGACCACGCCGTCCGAGGAGGAGGTGGTGATCTCCTCCCACTCGCACTCCTGCTCCGAGAGCTCCAGGTAGGTCTGGTGGTCGATGAGGCCCTTGCGGTAAGCCTCGTACACCGACATCTCCTTGCCCGTCTCGGGGTCCACGATGACCACACGCCGCTTGCGGACCGAAGACTTGGACGACGTCTTGCGCTCCCGCTTCTTGTCCTTGAGCGGTAGCAGCCGCAGGCCCGTCTGGGGGTCCTCCACGCAGCGCTCCATCAGCTGCAGGTACGTGAGGTTCTCCTCCGTGTTGGGGTCGAAGAAGCCCTTGGTGTCGTCCGAGGGGTCCGTGAGCACCTCATTCATGTCCTCGTCGAAGAGGCCGCGCTTGTAGGCCACCTCGACGGGCAGCCGGTGGCTCTCCTCGGGGTCGATGATGCCGCCCGTGGCGATCTGCGCCTCCAGCAGGCGGATGCCGTGGTCCTTCAGGATCAGGCCCTTCTTCATGGCCTGGAAGAGCGAGATGAGCTTGCCCGAGTAGGGGTCGCGGTAGCCGGTGACGGCGCGCTCGGCCGACAGCAGCTTGTCCTTGAACTCGGGCCCCACGATGCCCATGCGGACAGCCTCCTCCACCGTGAGCTTGAGCCCCTTGATGGGGTCGATGACGTAGCCCGTGGCCGCCTGCGCCTCCAGCAGCTCGAAGGCCGTGCCCGGCCGGATGATGCCCTTCTTCATGGCCTGGTACACCGACAGGCGCTCCTTGGTGGCGTCCACCAGGACACCGGCGATGCAGCTCGTGCCCTCCAGGAACCTCTGCAGGTGCCGGCTCACCTCCTCCACCGAGGTCAGGCCCTCCTGCAGCCGCAGCGCCGTGGCCTCGTCCATCACCTGCGAACGCACCAGCTCCTCCATGGTGATCTGCTTGCGCAGGCCGCGGAAGGTCAGCTTCCGGGCGTCGGACAGCGGCAGCAGCAGCTGGCCGCTGGCCTCGTCACGCCGGCACCGCCGCAGGAGCTGCGTGTAGCTCAGGCGCTCGTCAGTGGACGGGTCCACGTAGCCGCGCACCTCGCTGGGCTCTGAGAGTTGGTCATACGTGTCTTTGTTGAGGTAGCCCCGCTGGTAGGCCACGTCCAGCGGCAGGTGGAAGCCCAGGCGGGGGTCCACGATGCCGCCGGTGGCCAGCTGGGCGTCCAGCAGCCGCAGGGCCTCCTCGGCGGAGATGAGCTCCTTCTGCATGGCCTGGAAGAGCGAGATGGTCTGCTCGGTGTAGGGGTCCCGGTAGCCGGTGACGGCGCGCTCGGCCGACAGCAGACGGTCGTGCAGCTCGGGCCCCACCAGGCCCTTGCGCACGGCCTCGTCCACCGTCAGCCGCTCGCCCTTCACGGGGTCCAGCAGGAAGCCCGTGGCCGCCTGGGCCTCGAGCAGAAGGCGGGCCACCTCGGCGCTCAGCAGCCCCTTCTTGAGGGCCTGGTACAGGGTGAGCGTCTGCCGGGAGCCGGGCAGGTAGACGCCGGCCACGGCCCCCGTGCCGTAGAGGTAGCGCCAGGCGTCCTCGGCCTCCAGGGCCTCCCGCAGGCTGTGGGTGCCCTGGCGCAGCAGGGCGTAGGTCTCCTGGGAGATGATGCGGGCTTCGTACAGGTCCCGGGCCGTGAGGCGGCGGCGCACGTAGTCGTAGGAGGCGAGGCCCTGCTGCCGGACGATCTCCGTCTTCTCGATGATCTCGACGATGATGATGATCACGCGCTCCTTGGTCACGCGGCCTGCCTGGAAGTCGGCCATGAGCCGGGCGCGCTGCTCCTCCGGAATCAGGTCCGACTGCATCACCTCCCACAGCGACATGCTGGAGCCGCCGGCCTGGCCGCCGGGGACCTCGATCTGCGTCTCCTCGAAGGCCTTCCGGGTCTCCTCCTCGGAGTACACCTGCACGGCCTGGGCCTCCTCTGCCTGCTCGGCCCCCTTCAGCGGCAGCAGGCGCAGCCCGGTTTCGGGGTCCTCCACGCAGCGCCCCAGCAGCTCTGAGTAGGTGAGCTTCTCGTGCGTGTTGGGGTCCAGGAAGCCCTTGCTGGCGTCACTGGGGTCGGCCAGCACGCGGCTCGTCTCCCTGTCCAGGTGGCCGCGCTCGCAGGCCATGTGCAGGGGCAGGCGGTGGCTGTGCACGGGGTCGATGACGCCGCCCGTGGCGAGCTGGGCGTCCAGCAGGCGCAGGCCCTGCTCCCGCCGCACCAGCCCCTTGCGCATGGCCTGGAAGAGCGAGATGGTGGAGCCCGAGTAGGGGTCGGTGTAGCCGGTGACGGCCTTCTCGGCCGACAGCAGCTTCTCATGCAGCTCGGGCCCCACCACGCCCGCCTTGACAGCCTCGTTCACATACAGCCGCCGGTTGCTGACGGGGTCCAGCAGGAAGCCGGTGGCCGCCTGGGCCTCGAGCAGGAGCGTGGCCGTGCCGGGCCGCAGCAGGCCGCGGCGCATGGCCTCGTAAATGGTCACCTTCTCCTGGGCGTCCTCCAGGTAGACGCCAGCCAGGCAGCCGCTGCCCTGCAGCAGCGCGCGCACCGAGTCCACCTCCGAGAGCTCCTTGACCGTCGTCCTGCCTTCCCGCAGCTGCTCGAACTGGGCCCTGCTGAGGACGCCGGCGGCCAGCAGCTGGCCGGCCGGCACCGGGGCGCGCAGGCCACTGAAGGCCAGCCGCTCGCGCCGCCGCGTCTCCACCTCCTCCACGATGGTGATGACGATCTTGATGACCTTCTCCACCGTGACCTTGCCCGTGCGGAACTGCCGCAGCAGCTCCTGCCGCTGCTCCTCGGTGAAGTACTCGGAGCTCAGGAGCTCCCAGACGGTGGCCGGCCGGCCCTGGAAGCTGCCCGTGGGCACCTCCACGGCCGCCTTCTCGAAGGTTTCGCGGACCTGGGCCTCAGAGTAGACCTCCTCCTGCCGGGCCCGGGCGGCCTCCTCGGACAGCGGCAGCAGGCTCAGGCCGGTCAGCGGGTCGGGCCGGCACCGCTGCTGCAGCTGCTGGTAGGTGACCAGCTTCCCCGTGCCGGGGTCCAGGTAGGCCTTGACGGTGTCCGTGGGCGCCGCCAGCGTCCTGCTGGTCTCCTCGTCTAGGCACCCCCGGGCGCAGGCGACATCAGCCGGCACGCGGTAGCTCCTGCTGGGGTCCACCACGCCGCCCGTGGCGAGCTGGGCGTCCAGCAGGCGCAGGCCCTGCTCCCGCGGCACCAGCCCCTTTTTCAGGGCCTGGAAGAGCGAGACGCTCTGCCCAGAGTAGGGGTCCCTGTAGCCCGTGACGGCCTTCTCGGCCGACAGCAGCCTCTCATGCAGCTCGGGCCCCACCAGGCCGGCACGCACAGCCTCGTCCACCGTCAGCCGCGCGCTGGTGGCCGGGTCCAGCACGTGCCCGGTGCCGGCTTGGGCCTCGAGCAGGGCTAGGGCTGTGTCCGCCGGCAGCATGTCCTTCTTGAGGGCTTCGTAGAGGCTCACCTTGCGCGCTGCCCCCTCCAGCCACACGCCGGCGATGACGCCGGAGCCCCGCAGGGCCCGCCGCACGGCGTCGGCCTCGGCCACCTCCCGCACGGAGCGCTCGCCCTGCTGCAGCTGGCGGTAGGTGTCGCGGTCGATGACGCCGGCCTCCAGCAGCTCGGCGGCCGGCACCAGGGCACGCAGCCCCTCGAAGCACAGCCGCTGCCGCTGCTCGTGCTCCTCCACGATGGTGACCACAATCCTGATGACCTTCTCCACCGTGACCTTGCCCGTGCGGAACTGCCGCAGCAGGTCGCGCCGCTGCTCCGCCGTGAAGCACTCCGAGTTGAGGAGCTCCCAGATGGTCACCGTCCTGCCCTGGAAGCTGCCGGGCGGTGCGGACACAGTGGCCTTCTCCAGGACATCCCGGGCCTCCGAGTCCGTGTACACCAGCTCGCCACCCTTAGCGGCAGCATCCGTGAGCGGGAGCAGGCGCAGCCCGGTGTCGGGGTCGCGCACACAGCGCTCCAGCAGCTGCACGTAGGTGAGGTTCTCGTGCGTGTTGGGGTCGAAGAAGCCCTTGGTGTCGTCGCTCGGGTCGGCCAGCACGCGGTTCATGTCCTCGTCGAAGTAGCCGCGCTCGTAGGCCACGGCCACGGGCACGCGGTGGCTGTGCACCGGGTCGATGACGCCGCCCGTGGCGATCTGCGCCTCCAGCAGGCGGATGCCGTGGTCGCGCACGATGAGGTCCTTCTGCATGGCCTGGAAGAGCGAGATGCGCTCGCCCGAGTAGGGGTCGGTGTAGCCGGTGACGGCGCGCTCGGCCGACAGCAGCTTGTGGTGCAGCTCGGGGCCCACCACGCCCTCCTTCACGGCCTCGTTGACGGTCAGCCGCCGGTTCTGCACGGGGTCGATGACGAAGCCCGTGGCCGCCTGCGCCTCCAGCAGGATGAGGGCCGTGCCGGGGCTCAGCAGCTGCCGCTGCAGGGCAGCGTACACGCTCAGCTTCTCTCCGCTCGACTGCAGCAGCAGCCCGGCCACGCCTCCGCAGCCCTGCAGGTAGCGGCTCAGGTCCTCCCTCTGCGCCAGCTCGGCCACCGTGGTGCGGCCCTGATCCAGCCGCTGCAGCTCCTCCGCGCTCAGGATGCCAGCCTCCCGCAGCTGCTGGGCCGGCACGGGGCGCCGCAGGCCCTGGAAGGCGTGCTCGGGCTCCGTGTCCACGGACGGTCCGTCGGGCGCATCCCGGCCGTTGGGCAAGGCTTTGGTGGCGCTGGCCGCCTGGGAGGCCGCGACCTCCTCTGAGTGTGCCAGGGCGGCCCGGTGCTCCTCCTCCAGGCGCTGCAGCCGCTCGCGCAGCCGTTTGTTCTCCTCAGCCAACAGCTGCTCCTGCTGCTGCCGCTGCTGCTCCAGGCGCTGCAGCTCCTCCTGCTTGCGCCGCACGCCCTCTTCTGCCTCGCGCTGCTGCCGCCGGGCCTCCTCCATGCTGGCCACCAGCTGCCGCCGCTCCTCCTCCATGCGCTGCTGCTCCCGCTGCTGCTCCTCGCGCAGCTGCTGCGCCTTGGCCACCTCGTCTTGGAACAGCTTCTCGAGCTTGGCCTTCTCCTCCTCCACCAGGCGCTCCCGCTGCAGCAGGCTGTCCTTCTCCGACAGGAAGCTCTGCTGCAATGCCTGTGCCTCCTGCAGCCTCTGCTCCTGCTGTGCCGTCTGCATCTGTGAGGGCGGGGGGGGGGGAGGGGGGAGAGGGCAGCAGGTCAGAAGAGGCAGGGTCCCCGCCGTGCCCAGCACCCCCCGCCCAGGGCCTGCCCGGGCCCGCCCGCCCGGCCGGAGCAGCTGCTACCTCCTGCGACTTGAGCTGCAGCAGCTGGGCCTCCTGCTTGAGCCTGTCCTTCTCGCGCTCCAGCTCGGCGATGGCCTCGCGCAGGCGCTCGGCGTCACGGTCGCTCTGCTGCCGCTGCAGCTCCAGCGTCTGCACCAGCGTGACCTTCTCCTGCGACGCGAGCTCGCTGCGGTGCAGCTTCGCCCCGATGTCCTCAGCCTGCTTGCGGAAGCGCTGGGCGTCCTCCTCGGCGCGGGCCTGAGCCTGGCTCATCTCGGCCACGCGCAGCTTGAGGCGCTCGGCCTCGGCGCTCATCTCCAGCTGCCGCTGCCGCTCGGCCTCCAGCGTGCGCTGGAAGCCCTGGGTCTCCTGCGCCAGCTGCTGCGCCATCTGCTCCTTGTCTTCCTGCAGCCGCCGGGCCTGCTCCTGTGCCAGGTCCTTCTGCCGCTGCAGCAGCTCGGCCTCGGCCTTCAGCCGCGTGGCCTCCTGCACCGCCTGGATCTTCTCCTTGAGGGCCTTCTCGGCCAGTGCCCGCTGCTGCGCCAGGTCCTCCTCGGCCAGCTGCCGCAGGCGTGCCGCCTCCTGCGCCGCCACGCTCAGCCGCGCCGCCTCCTCGGCGACCTGCCGCATCTTCTCGGCCTCCTCCTCCAGGAGCCTCTGCGTGTTGTCTTTGTCACGCAGCACCAGCGCCCTGTTCTCGGCCTCGATGCGGGCCTTGAGCTTGCCCAGCTCCTCCATCTGCACGCGCACCGAGAACAGCTCCTCCTCCACCTGGCTGCGCTGGCGGGCGGCCTCCGCCACCTCGGCCTTCAGCCGCTGCAGCTCCTCGTCCAGGATGCCCCTCTGGTGGTCCGTCTCCTCCAGCTGCAGCCGCAGCGCCGTCAGCTCCTGCTCCACCTGCGCCTTCTGCCTCAGCGTCTGCTCCGCGAAGCGCTTGTGCCTCTCCATCTCGGCGTCGGCCGCCTGCTTTTGCCGCAGGGCCGCCTGCTCGGCCTTAGCGCGCCGCGCCGCCTCCTGCTCCGCGTCCTTGCGCAGCTGCTCGGCCGCGGCCTGCGCCTCGGCCTGGGCGCGCGCCTGCTCCTCCGCCGTCTGCTTCAGACGCTCTGCCTCCTCCACCTGCTGCCGAGAGCGGGCGGCCTCGCGCTCCGCCTGCTCGCGCGCCGCCTCCGCCTCCTCCGCCGCTCGCCGGGCGGCCTCTGCCTCTGCCCGCAGCCGCTCCAGCACGCTCTGCTCCTGCTGCCGCGTCTGCTGCAGCTCCTGCTCCCGTTGCTGCACCGCGAAGGCGTGCGCCTTCTCCTCGGCCTGCAGGCGCTTCTGGGCGGCCTCCTGGGCCAGCTGCAGCTGCCGCGCCGACTCCTGCTCGGCGCGTTCCCTCAGCCGCCAGGCCTCCTCCACCTTGGCCTTGAGCCGCTCCACCTCTTCCAGCGCGGCCTTGCGCTGCCGGCCAGCCTCCTCCTCGGCCGCCAGGCTCCTCTGCACCCGCTCCTCGGCCTCGCGGCGCCGCTGCTCCTCCTCTGCCGCCAGCTGCCGCTGCCGGGCGGCCTCGCGCTCCGCCTGCTCCCGGCTGCGCTGGGTGTCCTCGGCATCGCCCCGCAGGCGCCCCAGCTCCAGCTCCAGCTCCGCCTTGCCAGCGGCCGCCTTCTCGAAGCTCGCCTTCAGCGCCAGGATCTCCTCCTCCACCTGCCGCCGCTGGCGCAGCGTGTCCTCCACCAGCCCCTTCTGCCGCTCCAGCTCGCTCTCCGAGGCCTTGCGCAGCTGCGCCAGGCGCTCCTCGATGTCCGCCTTGTGCTGCGCCGCTTGCTCCTCCAGCCGCCGCCGCTGGAAGGCTTCGTCCTCGGCCAGCCGGCGCAGCCGCTCGTTCTCCGCCTCCTTCTCCTTCAGGGCGATCTCCGCCTCCGTCTTGAGCCGCGTGGCCTCGCCGATGGCCGCCAGCTTCTCGGCCAGCACGCGCTCGGCCTCGGCCCGCTGCCGCGCCGCGTCCTCCTCGGCCAGCTGCCGCTGCCGCTTGGCCTCCTCGGCCAGGGCCCGCAGGCGCGCTGCCTCCTCGGCCAGCTCGCGGAAGCGCCCGGCCTCGGCCTCCAGCCGCTGCTTGGACCGCTCGCTGCTGGAGCGCGACTCCTCCTCGGCCCGCGCCTTGCTGGCCAGCAGCACCTCCATCTCGGCCCGCACCTTGGCCAGCTCGGCCTCCAGCTCCTGGCGCTTGTGGGCGGCGGCGGCCGCTTCCCGCTGCAGCCGGGCTAGCTCTTCCTCCAGCACCTGCCGCTGCTGCTCGCCCTGCTCGGTCTCGGCCCGCAGCCGGATCAGCTCCTGCTCGGCGGCCAGGCGCTGCTGGGCCGTGCCCTCGGCCAGCTGCCGCTGCTTCTCCAGCTCCTGCTCGGCCAGTTCCCGCTGCCGCACGGCCTGCTCCTCGGCCTTGCCGCGCCGCCGCGCCTCGCGCTCCGCCTCCTCCTTCTGCTTCTCGGCCTCAGCCTGCGCCAGGCTCTTGTGCTGTGCCACCTCCTCTGCTTGCAGCCGCAGGCGCAGCGCCTCGTTGGCCTTCAGGCGCCAGCGCTCCAGCTCGCGCTCGGCCTCCTCGCGGGCTCGCTCGGCCTCGGCCTGCTGCTGCGCCCGCCGCTCGGCCTCCTCCCGCAGCTGCGCCACAGCCACGTGCTCCTCCTGCAGCGTGCGCTCCAGCTGGGCCGTCTTCTCGGCGAAGGACGCACGCTTGCTCTGCAGCTCCGCCTCGGCGCTGCGCTGGGCCGACTCCAGGGCCACCTGCACTTGCCGGGCTCGCTCGGCCTCCGCCTGCCGCAGCTGCCTCTCAGCCTCCTCCGCCTGCAGCCGCACCTCCTCCAGCGCCTGCAGAGCCCGCTGCTTCTCCCGAGCGGCCTCGGCCTCGGCCTGCACACGCAGCGCCAACTCCGCCTCCGCCTTTCGCTTGCGCTGGCTCTCCTCCTGCACCTGCCGGCGCAGGCGCTCCGCCTCCTCCTGCGCCTGCCGCCTCTGCGCCTCGGCCTCCTCGGCACGGGCACGCAGCGCCTGCAGTTCCCCCTCAGCCCCGCTGCGCTGGCGCTCCGTGGTCTCCAGCTGCAGGCGCACCACGCGGATCTCCTCCTCGATGCGCACGCGGCTGCGCTCGGCCGCTTCCGCCTGCTGGGCCTTGGCCTGGATCTCGGCCTCCGAGCTCTGCCGCAGCTGCTGCAGCTCCTCCTGGATGCTGCGCTTCTGTTGCTGCGCGTCCACGGCCGCCTCCTGCCGCCGCGCCACCTCTTCTTGCATGCGTCGCTGCAGCTCCTGCGCCTCCTGCTCGGCCTGCGCCTTGGCCTGGGCGTGCGCCTCGGCCAGCTGCCGCTGCTTCTCCAGCGCAGCCTCCACCTCCGCCAGCCGCTCCCGCTCCTCCGCGCGCTGCTGCTCCGCCAGCCTCTGCGGCCGCAGCGAGTAGGAAAAGAATGGGGGGGGGAAGAGTGTGAACGTGGGGCGGGCGCCAGGCAGATGGCAGGAGAACCAGGGGGAGAGTGTGAGGGTGGGGCAGGCGCCAGGCGCACACACGCTTCATGGCACTGCCACAGCTCAGGGGTCAGCGTGCACCCACCATGCTCACAATAGCTTGAGGGAGGAGGACCGACCAAGACGGACAGATGGCCGGGAGGATGGGGAGACAGCAAGGCAGGAGGCACGCGGCGCCCCCAAGCCGCTCCCAGGACGCAGACCCGCCTGGGCTCCTACCGGAACCCTCACCCAGTGGGCCCCCCCCCCCCCGGGACTGCTGCTTGGAAGCCATCGCTCCAAGGAGATGGAAGGCAGGGCTGCCGGCAGGCCCAGCAGCAGGGCCCATGGGAGGGGGAGCAGCCGGCAGCTGAACACCTCTGACACACGACTGCACCCCAAGAAAACCGGCAAGCAAAAGACCGCGGGGGACACCCCCAGAATGTACAGGAGGGACGCTCGCAGTGGATGGGGGGGTAGGCACCAGCCACCACGGCAGCAGCACAGGCCCAGCAGGGCAGCAGGCAGGGTAGCTGGGGCGGGCGCCCAGGCCTGGGCAGCCCCAGAAGTGCAAGCCTGCCCCGACGGCCAGCCTGGAGGAGAGCCCGACCTCGCCCGGCCGTACCTCCTCCTCTTCCATGCGCCGCAGGGTCTCAGTGAGGAACTTGATGTACTGGCTGGTGAGCGTGGTCAGCTCGCTGTAGCGCGTGCGCAGGTCCACATACTGCAGAGGGGTACCGGCTGGTCAGGCTGGCCCAGCTCGAGCCACAGCCCCCTCCCCCAGACCTGGCCGTGCCGGCTCCTACCTCCTGGATCACGCTCTCCGCCCCAGACTGGACCTTGGGCTTCTTGGCAGGAGACACCACCGGCTCCAGCTGGGCCTTGTAAGTGACGAGCTGGAGCTCGTAGTCCTGTGGGCACACACTGCTGTGAGCGCCAGCTCCGCCCCGGTGCCCACCCCAGGCTCGCCCAGCCCCACGGCCTCACCTTGATGGCATTGATGTATTGCTTGGCAAACCTCTGGCACTCCTCCACCTTCTCGCCGTGGCGCTCGATCTCTTCCAGCAGGGCCTGGGGGAGCGCAGGGGAGGAGGGCGCCGTCAGCACGGTCCTCGGCCCCCCCCCCGCCCCAGCCCCGGCCGCCCCGGGCCCACCTTCTCCTGCCGCAGCTGTTCCCGCACATCGCGGCTGCTGGCGAACGTCCCGGCCTGGGCCTGCTCCTGCCGCCGCCGGGCGTCCTGCAGCCAGGCCGCCAGCGGGTCGGCGCTTTCACGGTAGTAGCGCAGCTGGCGGCCCAGCTGTTCCAGCTCCCGCTGCCGCAGGTCCGTCTGGGCCAGCACGGCCTGCCAGCGCTCCAGCAGCTGGGACACCCGCTCACGCCAGCGCTCCACCTCCACGTCTCGCTCCCCGTGCCGCTGCTGCAGCCGCTCGCCCACCTCCTGTGCACCCCGCAGCTCGTCCCGCAGGGCGTCAAACATTGGCTGCTGCGCCTCTGCCTGGGCCCGCAGCTTCTGTGGGTGAAGAGGAACAGCCCTGCATCAGCCAGGGCACCCCCACGCCCAGGGCACCCCCACGGCCCACAGCCAGGGCACTCCAACGCCCAGGGCACCTCCCATGCCCAGGGCACCCCTAGGCCCAGGGCCCTGCAAGCCACAGCCTGGCCACCATACCTTCAGCGAGGCCTTGGTGGCCTCAAGCTCTGGGAGGGTGGCTGGCACGGCCTGCGCCTCCTTCAGCTGCCCCTCGTGGGCCCGGAGCACCTCCTCTGCACCCTGGGTACTGCGGATCACCAGGCTGATGGTCTTGAGCCTGGGGGCAGAGGAGGGGTCTCGGTGAGAGTGGGCGGTGAGCCTGAGGCAGTGGGGTCTGCTGCATGCTCAGACTGTATTCAGCACATCTGCCCAGGCCCGTGCGCCACAGCCTGGGCCTCAGGGTTAGACAGGCCCTCCAGCTCCGGCCTGAGGCAGGTGGAGCCGGGGGAGAGGTGGGAGCAGAAGTGCCCTCCCCCACAGTCCCCTTCGCATCCAGTGGGTAAAGGGGCGGCAGGAGAGGGAGGCAGGTGGGCTCCCATCATGACCGAGAGCCACTGCCTGGGAACAGCGGGTATAGACAGCAAACACAGTGGACGTGGGATGAGGCTAGCCTGGGACCAAGGGGCAGGCAGGACAGGGTAGGTGGGGAAGGGACGGCCCCATGACCACCCTGCAGGCCCGGGCATGGGGCCAGGGTGGGCAGGACAGGGGTGGCCTTGGCACCCACTGCTGTCTCCTGGCTCTGCCTCCCACCTGCTCTTAACAAAAGCCCCCTGACCCCCAGGAGCCTTCAGAACCCTCTGACCTACCCGTCTCTGAACCCCACTGCCCTGACACACCTGCCCTTGGCAGGCCCCTTCTGCTGACCTCTGTCAGCCGAGGGCCCGGTGTCCGTGCTGGGGTGACCCCCCGCACTCCTGGCCCAAGTCCACTCACTTCTCTAGGTAGATGGCTGACAGGCTGCGGACCTGCTCCAGCTTGCCCAGCGTCAGCTCCAGCTCCGAGCGCAGGGTCGGGGCTGCCGGTGAGGGCTCAGGCAGCGCCAGGATCTCCTCCGCTTCAGCAGAGAGCCGGCTGACGCCCTTGCCCAGCCCGTCCAGCTCAGCCTGTGCCTTCTGAGGAGAACCGAGCATGGGGACAGGTGAGCAGAGGGGCCCGGCGCCCAGGCCTCCCCACCCTGGGCAGGGGCAGGGTGGGGCGGGTGTCCTGCCTGCTGTTCGGCGATGCGCTGGGCACACTCCCGTGCCGGTTCCTTGTCCAGCGGCAAGCGCAGACGATGCACGGTGCGGGCCTCGCAGGCCTCCAGCTGCAGCCGCACGTCCTTGAGCTCTGAGATACAGCGCTGACAGCGGGACTCCTCCTGCTCCCCTGGGGTCAGCACCCGGGGTCAGGGCTGGGGACGGCCGGCCTGTGCTCCCCTCCCCGTCCCGGGCTGCCATCTGGGGCTCATGCTCTCCTCCCCGTCCCGGGCTGCCGTCTGGGGCTCATGCTCCCCTCCCCGTCCCGGGATGCCGTCTGGGCCCCGTGCCTCCCTCCCTGTCCCAGGCTGCCATCCGGGCCCCGTGCCTCCCTCCCCGTCCCGGGCTGCCGTCTGGGGCTCATGCTCCCCTCCCCGTCCCGGGATGCCGTCTGGGCCCCGTGCCTCCCTCCCTGTCCCAGGCTGCCATCCGGGCCCCGTGCCTCCCTCCCCGTCCCGGGCTGCCGTCTGGGGCTCATGCTCCCCTCCCCGTCCCGGACTGCCGTCTGGACCCCGTGCCTCCCTCCCCATCCCGGGCTGAGGCCGGCCTCGTGCTCCCCTCCCCGTCCCGGGCTGCCGTCTGGGGCTCATGCACCCCTCCCCGTCCCAGACTGCAGCTGGCCCAGTCTCCTCTCCCCTTCCTGGGTTCCCGTCCACGCCCTACCCTGCTCGGCACTCTGCAGCAGCTCCTGGTAGTGGTGGCTGCAGGAGTTGTAGTCACGCTCGGCCGCCAGCCGGTCCTCAGGCCCGAAGCCCCCAGCACCCTGGCTGTCCCGCAGGAAGGCCTGGTAGTGCAGCTCCAGGCTGCGCAGGGCTTGGCGCTGCTCCTCCGGCTTCAGCGTGCGGAACTGCACAAGGATGTGGGGGCCGGGGGCTCTGAGCATGGGCTGGGACGCCCTGCCACCCCTCGCCCGCCGCCCAGCATCCCCTGACCTACCGTGACCAGCGACCAGGAGCGGATCAGCTGCACATCCCGGCTGAAGCTCTGCCAGGCCAGGAGGCTCTTCATGTCCACGTGCAGCTGGTGCCACAGTGTGACCAGGGCCTGGTGCTGGGCCTCGAGCCTGGCAGGCGAGGGTGGCCATGGTCAGTGAGTGCCCACCAGCCCTGCCCACCGCAGCTGCCGGTCACCCACTGGTCCCCCCAACCACTGCGACCACCCACCGCCCCCCACCGCAGCGGCCGGCCACCCACCTGGCCACAGCCTCCAGGGCCTCCGGGTTGGGCGGCGGCACGAGGAAGCACACGGCCGGCATGGAGGCCTTGCTGCCCGTGCCGCTCTGGATCTCCCAGTGGGACGGCTGCGCAGGCCCCAGCAGCTGGCATGTGTCTCCCTTGTGCACGGTCACCTGGGCCGGGGCAGGGAGTGACAATGCGGCCACACGGCCGGCTCACCTCCCGCCGCCACAGCCCTCCTGTCTCAGCCTCACCTCCGCCTGCTTGTAGTCGCACACAGCCAGCAGGGGCACCGGGCCCCGCGCGGCGTGTGCCGGGTCGCGGGGTCTCAGCTGCACGATGGCCTTGGCCCGCTTCGCCAGGCCTGCGAGGTGCCCCTTGTACTCGCTCAGCTGCTCCTTCTCGTCCTGCAGGGCAGTGGCAGCTCAGGGCGGTGCCCCAGGACCGCCACCTCCAGCTCTGTGGTTCCTCTCGGGGCCTGTGCGCGGTCCCCAGAGGCTGTTCTTCCACGGCCAGACCTAAGTCCCCTGTGTGCCCAGGAGGCATGGCCAGCCACACCTGTCGCTGCTGCCGCCCTGTCCGCTCCCTGTCACCCCAGGACAACCCAAGGTCTCAGGTTACTACCTGCGGCTCCTCGGATGACACTGGGATCAGGGAACACACGAACCCCAGCTATTCCGCACCCCGACCCCGGCACATGAACCTCCACAGCCCTCAGACTCAGCCCTGCTGGCCACCGGCCACCTCCCTTTCCCACCCCCCGTGCCTAGCCCCCTCCCCCGTGCCTGGCCCCCTCCCCTGCCTGTGGCTGGTCCTGCCCGTGCCTTTGCCTGCCCGGCAGCGCGGGGCTCACCTGGGCGTCCTGCAGCAGGTCCTCCAGCCGTGTGACGGTGATGGAGCGGTCGCAGCTGTACTTCCTGCGCATTGTGTCCTGCAGCTTCTGCAGCTGCTCCTCGGCGGCCCGCACGTCCGAGAAGAACTGGGACGGTGGGAGGGGAGGGGGCGTCACGGGACCGGCGTCACAGGCCTAGTCTAGGGGGCTGTGAGGGGCCCGGGCTGCAGGTGGGCTCACCTGGAAGTAGGCGGTGTTCTCCTTCAGGTGGGCCTCCACACAGCAGCACAGCTGAAGTGTCCAACTCCACTGCGTCTGCAGAGCCGCCTGGAAGGACTGTGGGGGCACGGCCGTCAGCCCCCTGCACCCACCCCACCCCACGACTGTCAGCCCTGCCAGCACCCCACGCCTGCACCCACCTCCACCGTGGGCCTGGCAGGGTGCTCCTCCCGCAGCAGCCGATCCCCCATGTTCTGGATCTCCTTGACTTTTTTCTCCTTCAGCTCCAGCTCTCGCATCAGGGCCTGTCCCAGGCACCAAGTCTCAGACACTGGGGGCCTGCCACGGGGACGGCCGGGGCCCAGCAGGGGCGGGGCAGAGGCCGGGGGCCCAGCAGGGGCGGGGCAGAGGCCGGGGTGCGGGGGCAGAGGCCGGGGTACAGGGGCAGAGGCCGGGGTGCAGGGGCAGAGGCCGGGGTGCAGGGGCAGAGGCCGGGGTGCAGGGGCAGAGGCTGGGGTGCAGGGGCAGAGGCCGGGGTGCCGGGGCAGAGGCTGGGGTGCAGGGGCAGAGGCCGGGGTGCCGGGGCAGAGGCCGGGGTGCCGGGGCAGAGGCTGGGGTGCAGGGGCAGGCCGTCCTCACCGAGTAGCCCTCCTTCTTGGCCGCCATGTTGGTGTTCCGCTCACTCCAGTCGAAGCCCACCTCTTCCTCCTCCTTCTCGCTCAGCCACAGGAGCTCCTTGGTGGTGGCCGCCACAAAGCCATGCAGGCTCTCCAGCGAACGCAGGCGGGCCTTGGAGGAGTTCTGGGGACAGGGAGGATGTGTGGGCACCAAAGCCTGCCTGCCAGCCCCTGCCCTGTCGCCCCCCAGCCCTCCAGCCTGTGCTCACCAGCAGCTTGGCGTACTGCAAGTCCAGCCGGCCCAGGCAGTCCCGGTAGGCGCCCCGGGCAGCCGGCGACAGCTGGCCCTGCAAGAGGTGACAAGGAATGTCGCTGGGAGGGAGGGAAGCCCACGGCGGGGTCCTGGCAGCACACGACCCTCCCAGCAGCCCCCACTCACCTCATCGCTCCGCGCCCTCTCGATCTTGGACCGGAATTCCTCGATGGACTGGTGCAGACCTCGGTGGCTGCCCAGCTGAGCCTCCACGCTGGGCAGGTCCACCCCCCACTCGGCGCCATCCAGCCGCCGCTGGTTCTCCTGCACCCAGGCCAGCAGGTCCTGCAGGTAGCGCAGGGTGGAGTCCTCCAGCTCGGGACGCCTCTGCGTGCCCAGCGGGGCCGCCTGGGTCACGGGGGTGGCCACGCCAGCCTTTAGCCGCAGGGTAAACTCGGTGCGGATTGCCACCAGGCGTTCATGCAGGCGATACACCCTGGGCAGGGGAGGTGGGAAGGGTCAGCCAGGCCAGCCCTACCCAGCATGGGACAGGGCCAGGGACAAGGACAGGGCCAGGGGCCAGGACAGGGCCAGGGGCAGGGACCAGGGGCCGAGGCAGGGCCAGGGCCAGGGGCTAGGGCCAGGGGCTAGGGCCAGGGGCAGGGCCAGGGGCAGGGCCAGGGACAGGGGCAGGGCCAGGGGCAGGGCCAGGGGCCGGGAGAGGGGCCAGAGACAGGGCCAGGGACAGGGCCAGGGGCAGGGCCAGAGACAAGGACAGGGCCAGGGGCCAGGACAGGGCCAGGGGCAGGGCCAGGGGCCGGGAGAGGGGCCAGAGACAGGGCCAGGGACAGGGCCAGGGGCAGGGACAGGGGCAGGGGCAGGGACAGGGGCCGGGACAGGGGCCAGGAACAGGGGCAGGGGCCGGGAGAGGGGCCAGGGACAAGGACAGGGCCAGGGGCAGGGCCAGGGGCAGGGCCGGGCCGGGCCCACCTGCGGTACATCTGCTCGCCCTGAGGGTGCCGCCCGTCCTTGAGTGTCTGCACGTCATTGAAGAGCACTCGGATCATGGTGTCCGCCTTGTCCAGGTCCCGCTCCACCTCCCCCGCCCGCTGTGGCGCCTTGCCCGAGGCCAGCAGCCGTACGTCCTGCAAAGTGGACACCCGTGGCTCAGCGGGCCGACCTCCTGGCCATGAGGACCACCCTGCCAGAGAGGTGGACCCCTGCTCTCCTCCCTCCCCTTTCTGCTGCCCCATGCCCCCTCCACACTTCCAGACAAACCACTTTGCCAGTGACCAGTCCCGTCCACGGGAGGCTCAGGGACTGTGCCCCGAGACCCCTCCCCTCTCCGCAGCCCTGCGCCTGCAGCCCGCAAGGGAGAGGCCGGGCACCTCCCTCAGGGTGCTAAGAGCGGGCGGAGGAGGCTGCACCCCAGAAGGGCAGAGCGCAGGCCTGGCAGCCCCCTGGCCCCCCACCCTGGCCACGTCCACTCCACTCAACCGGCAATGGTCCCGCCCACTCCAGCCCTAGGGCCCAACCACACCCCATGCAGCCCCGCCCATCGGGCCCCAGACCCGCCCACCCACAGACCCGCCTCCATGTGCAGCCCCGCCCCTCCCACTAGGCCCCGCCCCCAGGTCCCGCCCCTTCGGCCAGGCCCCGCCCCCGGCCCGCTCGCCAGGCCCCGCCCTCCCCGGCCCCGCCCCTTCCCTCACCGACTGCAGCAGGGCGTCGGCCTGGTTCAGCTGCTCCTCGCACAGACCCGCCTCCATCTGCAGCTTGCTCACGACGCGCTGAAGCCGCTCCAGCCTGCAGCGCCCGCCGAGTGAGTGCCGGAGTGGCCGCCCGCAGCTCCAGCTCCCTGGGCTGCAGCCTGCCTGCGGCCAACTGGCCAGGCGGGCGGTGGCTCGGCTGCCCCGGTCCGGGGGACCTCCTCGCCAGGCGGTGAGTCACCGTGGGGTGGCCGCCCGCCCGGCCCAGCCCGGCCCACAGCCCGGCCCAGCCCGCCTGCCCACAGCCCGCCCACGCCCACCTCTCAAACTCGCTGCGGAGCTGCTTCTCCCGCTCCAGGATGGCCACGTGCAGCCTGCCCCACTCCTTCTCCACGTCCAGCGGGTGGTAGCCGGGCGGCACCTTGAGCTGGCCTGCTTGTATCGCACCCTGCAGGCAGCACCCGAGCTCAGACCCAAGCTGCACAGGGTGGGGATACCAGGCCCGGGGGGTGCCCGCCCGCTGCAGCCCCACCAGCCCTGGTTCTGGGGGCTCACCTCCAGGGACTGGTAGATGGCCTTGGACCGGTTCTTGTCTGCCTCCTTGGCAGGAAGTTCCTTCTCCTTGAACTTCAGGAATTGGCACCACAGGATCTGTGGGGACCAAGGGGAGCTGGGGCTGTTGGCAGCCGGCCGAGGGGCAGGGCAGGGGAAGTGGGCCGGGGTGGGGGGGGCCCACCTCGATCTCCTCGAAGCTGGAGGGGAACTTGCGCTCCTCGAAGGCGGCCGTGTGGTGCCGGACCCACTGCAGCAGCAGCAACACCAGCTCCCGGTACTCCTGCCAGCGCAGCTGTAGCTCCTGGCACACAGGGAGCTGGGGCTCAGGGCGCTGGGGGGGCCACACGTCCCCCCACCTGAGCCCTGGGCCCCGTCTCTCACGTTGGCCTTCACCCCGTCCTGCACGTCGGGCACACGGGGCATGGCGTCATACAGGGACGAGACGTAAGTGATGATGGACTTCTCATCGGGCTGTGCAACGTCCACATCTGGGGACAGGGGAGTGGGTGCTCAGAGGGCCCCCCCAGATGCTCCTGGGAGGGTTAGGGGAGTGGGTGCTCAGAGGGCCTCCCCAGATGCTTCTGGGAGGGGCAGGGGAGTGGGGTGCTCAGAGGGCCCCCCCAGATGCTCCTGGGAGGGTTAGGGGAGTGGGGTGCTCAGAGGGCCCCCCCAGATGCTCCTGGGAGGGTTAGGGGATTGGGTGCTCAGAGGGCCTCCCCAGATGCTCCTGGGAGGGTTAGGGGATTGGGTGCTCAGAGGGCCTCCCCAGATGCTCCTGGGAGGGTTAGGGGAGTGGGTGCTCAGAGGGCCTCCCCAGATGCTCCTGGGAGGGTTAGGGGAGTGGGTGCTCAGAGGGCCCCCCCAGATGCTCCTGGGAGGGTTAGGGGAGTGGGTGCTCAGAGGGCCCCCCCAGATGCTCCTGGGAGGGTTAGGGGAGTGGGTGCTCAGAGGGCCCCCCCAGATGCTCCTGGGAGGGTTAGGGGAGTGGGTGCTCAGAGGGCCCCCCCAGATGCTCCTGGGAGGGTTAGGGGAGTGGGGTGCTCAGAGGGCCCCCCCAGATGCTCCTGGGAGGGTTAGGGGAGTGGGGTGCTCAGAGGGCCTCCCCAGATGCTTCTGGGAGGGTTAGGGGAGTGGGTGCTCAGAGGGCCCCCCCAGATGCTCCTGGGAGGGGCAGGGGAGTGGGTGCTCAGAGGGCCCCCCCAGATGCTCCTGGGAGGGTTAGGGGAGTGGGGTGCTCAGAGGGCCTCCCCAGATGCTTCTGGGAGGGTTAGGGGAGTGGGTGCTCAGAGGGCCCCCCCAGATGCTCCTGGGAGGGGCAGGGGAGTGGGTGCTCAGAGGGCCCCCCCAGATGCTCCTGGGAGGGTTAGGGGAGTGGGTGCTCAGAGGGCCCCCCCAGATGCTCCTGGGAGGGTTAGGGGAGTGGGGTGCTCAGAGGGCCTCCCCAGATGCTTCTGGGAGGGTTAGGGGAGTGGGTGCTCAGAGGGCCCCCCCAGATGCTCCTGGGAGGGGCAGGGGAGTGGGTGCTCAGAGGGCCCCCCCAGATGCTCCTGGGAGGGTTAGGGGAGTGGGTGCTCAGAGGGCCTCCCCAGATGCTTCTGGGAGGGTTAGGGGAGTGGGTGCTCAGAGGGCCCCCCCAGATGCTCCTGGGAGGGGCAGGGGAGTGGGTGCTCAGAGGGCCTCCCCAGATGCTCCTGGGAGGGTTAGGGGAGTGGGTGCTCAGAGGGCCTCCCCAGATGCTTCTGGGAGGGTTAGGGGAGTGGGGTGCTCAGAGGGCCTCCCCAGATGCTTCTGGGAGGGGCAGGGGAGTGGGTGCTCAGAGGGCCCCCCCAGATGCTCCTGGGAGGGTTAGGGGAGTGGGTGCTCAGAGGGCCCCCCCAGATGCTCCTGGGAGGGTTAGGGGAGTGGGTGCTCAGAGGGCCCCCCCAGATGCTCCTGGGAGGGTTAGGGGAGTGGGGTGCTCAGAGGGCCCCCCCAGATGCTCCTGGGAGGGTTAGGGGAGTGGGTGCTCAGAGGGCCTCCCCAGATGCTTCTGGGAGGGGCAGGGGAGCAGGGGACACTCGTACCCTCGGGGTCCAGAAGCCGAGTCACCCCCAGGTCCCGCTCGGCCACAGAGAAGGCCTGGTCCAGGTTCTCTAGGTTGGACTGCTGGAAGACCTTGTTCATGTCGATGAGCATGGGCCTGCGGGCACAGGGGTGGTGGGCTCTGCAGGCCGTCCGGGCTCGGGGCAGCCCTGAGCCTCTGGCCCTGCCAGCCCGTCCTGGGACCACGCACCTGTGCCGGTGAATGATGGCATTGAAGAGCCGGCCGTCACGCCAGCTCGAGGTGAAGTTGTCGCAGCGCAGGCCCTGGTAGCCCTCCACCATGCGCTGTGACCACAGCAGCAGCTTCTCCTTGGCCGACATGTCCTCCGACTGCCCACTCACCTGGATGTCTGAGATCTGCCCCGGGAGCAGGTAGGCAAGGGGCACAGCTTAGCCCTGGGCCAGCCTGCCACACTGGGCCATGTTGACGGGCCCTGGCACTGGCCAGTGGCTGCCACGGACCAGCCGGAGCCCGTGGAATGGCCCAAGGTGGAGGACCACAGCCGGCCGGCCCACGGCGCGCCACCCTCATGCCTGGCTCTGCGCCCACCCTCCCCCTGTGTGACTCAGTGAGCGTGCCAGCCTGGCCGTGCCAGCCCAGATCTCAGATTTGTGGCTTCCTGTGTGAGGTTGAGTCAGCCAGGGCAGCTGGCAGCTCCATCGCAGGAACAGAGAGCTCTAGGGGACTGTACGGGCCCAGCCCTGTCAACTCCCTCAGGCCAAGGAGTCTGTGCCCGGGCTGGGGCGGGCAGGGCCCTGGCACACGGGGCAGCCACTCCCAGCCACGCCCCCTGGCCGCTCCACCTGGAAGTGCAGGATGATGGTCCAGATGAGGCCGAGCGTTAGCTTGGGGTTGCCGTCGGCGATGTCGTCATTGCGAATGTTCACCAGCTTTACCTGGGGGCGGGCAGCCGTCAGCCGGCCCGGGGCGAGGCGGGCCGGGCACCGGGGGCGAGGCGGGCCGGGCAGGGGCCGGGCAGGGGCCTCACCTGGCGGTGTCGGAGGTAGTCCAGGGCAATCTGGACGTTTTGCAGCTTGTGGAAGCGCATCCTCCCCTTCTCCCGAGGCTGTGGGGGGGCAGCCGAGGTCAGCGCCTCCCCGGGGCCCAGGCGCTCCCTCCCTGCCAGCCCGGCGGGGCTCCGGGAGGAAGGAACGGACAATAGCCAGGAAGCCTGCTGCCCAGTGCAGCTCTGGTGGGCCCCGGCGGGGCAGGCGCGGCGGCCAGCCGGGCTCCAAGCACTCACCAGGCGCAAACTCCTCATTCCGGCCCGCTCCCTTGGCTGCCCGGCCAGCGCAGGGCAAAGGGTAAAGGGCAGAGGTCAAGGTGCGAGTCCAAGCAGCAGAGAGACCAAAGCAGAGCAGAGCGTGAGGTCACGAGGCGGCGGAGTGGGGGGGCTCCGAGGGGGCCGGCCGGGACGGGGCGCACGTACCAGGCTGTCTCCGGACAGCACCTCCAGCAGGGAGATGAGGTTGTGGCCATCACGGAGGTCCTCGTACAGGTCAGTGATGTGCCTCTGGGCCTGAGGGGACAACGCCCGGTGACCCCCGAGCTCCAGGCAGGGGCCGACCGGGGGGCTGCCGACCGGGGCTCCCTCCCCCACCTACCTCCACCTTCCAGTGCTGCCCGAGAGACAGGAGGAAAGGAGGAGCAGAGGGAGACAGGAGCAGCGTGGAGAGGAAGGCATGGAAAAGAGCTTTCAGAGCCGCCAGGTGGGCACGGGGAGCCCCCACGCCCACGCCCGGGGTGCCACCCACCTTGATGAGGTGCTTGTTGACCCACTTGGTGAAGGTCTTCTTCTGGACCCGGTCCCTCTCATCTAGGGGGAGAACAGGACGGCCACGCTGACGCCAGGCCCCCAGCCCCTGCACGCGGGGGACTGGGCTCGGGTGCGGCCCGGCAGGGAGCTGGAAGGCAGGCCGCACCTCCAGCTCGGGTACACAAGCCCCGGCCTGCCCCGGCCCCACGTGGCACAGCGCAGCCCAGGCCGAGGCTGGGGGGAGCACCCCCGTCCCAGCCTGTGTCTAAGGCTCAGAGGCCCCACGGGCGCCCCCGTCTCGGAGTCTGCCCCCCAAACACGCAGACCCCCGGAGCCTGGGGGCACCCCCCACACACACACACAGTCCAATACAGACTTCCTGCCACAGGCAGGGCCCTTCCTGCCCGGTGGGTGCCCAGCCTGCCCAGGCCCGCCCAGCCTGCCCGGCGGGGTGCCCGCACCTTTCTTGCCCTCAGAAGCCCTGAGTACAGCCAGGTAGAGGTTGTCCTCCGAGCTGGTCCTCTGGTAGCCCAGGCCCTCGGGCTCGGGCACACGGAGCCGGTGCTGGGACATGCTCCGGCCGCTTGCTGGCCACCCCGTCCCTCAGCCTCCAGACAGCCCTCCCGCACACGGCCGCCGTCCAGCACACTCCCGGAGCAGGCTCTCAGGCAGGAGTCCCACGGGTTGTGGCCACTCCCTGCCCGCCGCGCGCCCCAACAAGGCACGGCGCCCCACCTCGCCAGGCGGGGAGTGTCCTGGGCGGGAAGAAGGCCGCCCCTCCCCCGCGGCCACACCCTCCTCCCCGCAGAAACAGGAAACGGGTTTCCTCACCCACCCTGCCCGCTGCAGGCCTGGGAGGACCCGGGACCCCGGCGGGGGTGGCGGCTGGCACAAGCCCCTCCGAGGACCCCTGAAGGCTCCCCAGGACACGGGGGGTTGTGCCCAGGGCTGCCCGGCTGCCTGCCCACCACCACCGGGGGCCTGGAGGACACCTGTGCAGGATGAGGGGCCAGGTACTGGCGGTCTCTCCGAGCCCCCACATCACACCTCAGCTCTGTACCAAGGGTCCCGCCCAAGCCCCCAGCTCCTACAGGGCTCCATGCTCGGCCTCAGTGTCCTGGCCGCGCCCACCTGGGCCCAGCCCCCTCAGCCTGTGTCCTGGCCGCGCCCACCTGGGCCCAGCCCAACCCAGGGCACGCATAGCTGAGTGCTGACTCACCGACGGGCCCTCCCCCACCCGGGCAGGGGGCAGTGGGAAGCCCCCGAAGGGCCCTGCTGGTGAGTCAGGGCCAGGAAGGGTCCAGCACCGAGTCACTGGACAGGAAGCCGCACCTGGGGCAGGGCGGGGTGGGGCCGGCCCAGAGCAGTGGCCCGGGGCTGTAAAGGCAGTCTCCGAGCAAAGGGCGCCAGGCCCAGGGCCTGCCCGCCTGCACTACTGTCCCTCTGAGGCCCAGGGCTGACAGCCGGTGGCTGGCAACAGGAACTGGACAGGCCCCACCCGCCCGGCGGGGCAGGAAAGAATGCGCTGCCCGACCACAAGCATTTTCCAGATGTGATGGCGCTCCAGCGGCAGGCTGCTCCCCTCCCCCCCAGGGCCTGGACGTTCGGAAAAGCTCACCAGCCCACGCTTGTGTCCACCAGCCACCAGAGGGCACCTAAGCCCTGCATGGAGGCCCCGCCAGGCGGTGGCCCCTCACATCACACCAGGTTCTAGCTCACAACTTCCCGGTGCCCCCGGAACCCAGGAGAGCTGGCTGAGGCCCTGACACCCTGTCCCGCCCGAGGACCCTGACCTGGGCCCCAGCAGCAGGCATGGGGCGGACAGACACAGCTAGAGGGGATCCCCAGCCACACCCTCCCCCATGTTGCGGGGGACCCTGTTGCGAAGTCAGGGCCCATTCCTGGGGAGCCAGGGACTCAGGGTTCATCCACCCCTTGTCCAGGTCCTGCCCGTTGGCCGCTGGCCACAGCTGCCCCGCCCCTGCATCCCGTTCAAGTTCAAGCTCTGCCTGGACCATGGCCAAGCTCATTCCTCGGGGTGCTCCCGGGGGATCCACTTGTGCCCACCGTCCCCTGGGAACGCTGGGCGGCCGTCTGGGGGTGGCAGGGTTGCAATCCTGGGACTGTGGGAAGCAGCAAGGCCCTAGAAGGCACGCTGCCCAGGGCGCACGCTGCCCACGGCGCACGCTGCCCAGGGCGCTGCCTTCCAACCCACGTGTCCAGAAGTCGGTGCCTGGCAACCCAGGCCACAGCCCAGGCACCGCCCACCCCACCTCCCGCCCCTCTCCACGTCTCCTGCCCCAGGTGTTGCTAAAGACGTGTGGGGTAGGGGAGCCAGCAGCACCCCCAGCCCAGGAGGCAGCCCCCACCCAGTGACACACCTGTACAGCACAGCTGCAGGTGGAGGTAGTGCCTGCGGGCCTGCTCGCAGCCCCCATCCAGCCAGCACAGCCGCTCCAGTACCACCTCCCTCTGCAAGGGGAAGGTGCCCCCTGGGCTCCAGGAGGGCTCGGCCATGAGCTTCGGGGCGGCCCGCGGGACGTCTGGACGTCAGGCCCCGGCGGCCGGTTCTGTTCCCCACATCCTCCCCCGCCAGCCGGGCAACAGGCCCAGACTAGAAGAACCGGCCCTTGGCAGAGGCTCCACCCCACACAGGCCAGGAAGCCCCACCCCTACCCACAGGGAGAGCCTGGCGGGGCAGGGGGAGGGGTGCCCCCCTCCAGGTGGGAAGGGCTACTGCAGAAGGCCCTGGGGACTGGAGGGAGTGGGCTGTGCGGGGACAGGGGGCCAAGGCAGGGGAGCAATGGGGAACGAGACGGCTCAGGGAAGGCCTGTCCGGTGCCTATGGCACCTCGCACAGCACCCACAGCTGAGTCACCACCCGCGGAGCCCCACTGCCACTTCCAGTCCTCCCACCCCACCCACCAGGGGGCGGCCCTGGCCAGGCCCTGCCGACACCTCGGTGTCCCCTGGCCTGCAGCCCGTCCAGTGCCTCCATCTGCTGCCCAGGAGCAGGGCAGGACACAGCCCAGCCTGGCTGCCTGCCTCGACCTGGGTCCTGGGTCCTAGGCGAGGACGGCCAGCGCTGCCTCACCCCTGCACAGCTCCGACAGCTCCAGCTGGGGCAGGCAGGACACTCTACTGGCCGGCCCACGCGCCCACCTATGTGCCCCAAGGAGCCCCCAGCCGCCCCAGCAGTGGGCAGGGGCTTTGAGTGCGGGGCACATCCTGTGGTGCCGGCCTCCCAGCCGGAAGAGGAGGGCACAGAAGCCTGGAGGAGAGGGGGCGGACCCTTGGCCCCGTCCCGCCCCAGCATCCCGGCAGGGGCGGCGACTGCGAGGAGCGGTGCTTACCTGGCTCGTCCTGCACCTCCCGACGCCCCCGGCGCCAGTGCCACACGACGGCCAGGGTCACAACGTGGCCCACGACCACCAGGGAGGGGAACAGGTTGCCCGAGGGCTCCATGGCCACCAGGCACGGCTCAGGCACAGCAGCCCTGCGGCTCCCAGGCCCGACAGTCCCCTCCCCGGGAGGAGGCCGAGCACAGGGGCGGCCCAGGGAGCGGGGCCCGCCCTGCCTGCCGCAAGGCACCGGCTGCAGGACCCACGACGGGCAGCCCGGCCAGCAGCACCGCCCGGGCCCTCCGCCCTTGCCTGCCCTCCTCCCTCCCGACTCTTGGCCGCTCCCACTCGCGCACAGCCCAGCTCAGCTGTCCCTACGCAGAGCGCCCAAGGTTAGCCTCAGCCTTAACCCCTGCGCGCCCACAGCCACACCCGCCCGGGGGTGGGGCCACACTGCAGCCCCCCCAGCACAGCCTGGGCAGGCCAACCCCAGCTCCCCTCCCTGCCCCCACCAGTATGCCCCAAGACCGACCGTGAGAGCAGGCGGATGCCAAGGGCCCCACTGGAGATGTCTCCCCTCTGCCCCTACCTCCCTGCTGCCAAGGCCAAGGTGCCCACGGCCCCAGATGCACAGAGGCTGAGAACATGGGCCAGCCATGTCAAGAGGAAACCACACAGCGCCAGCCCAGCCCCCTGCCCAGGCTGGGGGTCACGGGCGTCCAGGACTGCCCCCACCTACCAGGCACGACCTTCATGGGGGCAGCAGCAGCACCCACTGAGCAGACAGGGAGCGGGCAGGTGTGGGGCCTGGGCAGCGGGGAGGGTCACGGGCCCCTCAACCACAGCAAGCAGCAGCGGCCGCGCACGGTGGGAGGTCGGTCCTGCACTGTCAGCAGCCGGCGTGGGGGAGGGGAGCGGTGGGCAGGGGCCCAGGGGGATATAAATATCCGGGGAGGGCAGGCGAGGCCCGTCACTCGGCCACACTTAGAACATGACGTGTGGTACCCGGGCGCCCGGCATGGCCTGCGCGGCAGTCCCGACCAGCCAGGCGGCACCCACCGCTGATGCCACCAGCGAGGGCACGCCTGGTCCGCCACCTCCTCAGATGGCTCGTCCCCCCACTGCCTGCCAGCTGGGGTGGGGAGAGGGGAGGCGGCCCATGGACTCCTGGCCGCGCTGGGCCCGGGTGGGGAAGGGACACTGCTCCCCTCTCCCCAGACGGCCCTGCGCCCAGCCACTGGACAACACACCTGGCCCCACGGTGGGCAGGACACCTGCCCAGGCCACACTGCCCGGCAGGCCTTGCCCGGAGGCCCTGACAGCCCCGGCGTGGAGGGCTGGGGGTCGGAGGTGCAGGCAGCTGGCAGCTTGCTTGGCCGCCACGTCTGGCGTGGCCCTGAGAAAACCGGATGGGCGTACACACGAGTGCACGGGAGGTCGGGAACCCCTCTCTTCCCAGGGCCATTCCCGTTGGGGGCACTTCCTGTGTCTCAGACATCACCCCCTTTCACCCTCATGAGCCCTCAGCTCATGCAAAGGTGGGGAGGGCTTGAAGGGGCTGGTCCCCATCACACAGGCCCACAGCAGGACGTGGAGGGGCCCCAGGCCTGCTGCTGGCCAGCCAGCCCCACACTCAGCTTCTGCTCAGAGCAGCCACTGGTTACCACCCCTCCCAGCACCTCCCACCCTGGCCCGGGCAGCCGAAGCAGGCTGGGTGCTGGGCCAGGAGCAGCCCAAATAAGAAGTGGCTCCGGCAGATGGAGGGTTGGGGTAGGCGCTGGGACAGCTCCTGTAGTTCTGTCCGCAGCCAACTGCACCTGCCCCCCACACTGGGCATCCTGCACCCCTCTGTCCTGATGCCCTGTGCCCCCTTCACAGACCCTGGTCCCCCACACTAGGCGCCCTCACCCCTCTGTCCTGATGCCCTGTGCCCCCTTCACAGGTCCCATGCTCCCCCCACACTGGGCACCCTCACCCCTCTGTCTTGATGCTCTGGCCCTGTGCCCCCTTTCCAGCCTACCTTGGCCCAGCTGTATCAGCTCCTCCATGCTGTACCTGTCCATGGCCACTGCTCCAGCTGGGCCTCTCACAGTGAGAGCCACAGAGAGGAAGACAGGGCAGGAAGGAGGGAAGGGGTGGGAGGCAGGAGGACTCGCTCCTGCCCCGGATTCCCCACCCAGCGCTGGGAGCAGCAGCTCCTCCTCACGACCAGCTCAGAGGCCAGGGCCCAGGAGGACCGGCCAGCGGGTCAGAGCCGGCCTCCGGGGAGCAGGGGCTGCCCCTCACCCAGTCCGGCCCCGCCCAGCACAGCCCACAACCTCTCTTCCCTCTGTGGGCCCAGGGCCAGGCCCTGCTACCCCACCCAACCACATTCCAGACATCCATGCATCCAGCACATGGCCATGTTGCTTCATGGAGACCAGCCCTGCGCTTTCCACACCCTCCTTGGTACCCACAGTCCCTGCAGAGAGGGTACCCCAGGCCAGGCCTGTCTGCACCCACACTCCCACGCTTCCAGCTTCTGCATCCCCCCAGCAGCTCGCATGTCCCTGCATCCCCGCCGGCGTGGCTGCCTACCACCCCCTCCGTGCAACCCCCCCGACCCCTGCTCCAGCGGCAGTCCAACACGCACGTCAGGGTGACAAGGGGACCAGGGAGGTCCCAGACGATGGCTGCGAGCACGGGTGTGATCCTCCCTCAGCTAGGAGGCGACCCCCCATCCCTCCCACACATCCCCCAGGCAGGGGCCCCTTCTCCCAGCCTATAGCTCAGGCTGCCCAACTGCCCCCTCACTCCTCTATTCCTAGCTTATCCCCAGGCCAGCAGGGGCTCTGTGGTACAGGTGTGTGTGCAGTCACATGGGACATGCATGGTACAGGCGGTCGTGTGTGTGTGTGTGCAGTCACACAGAACATGTATGGTACAGACGGTCGTGTGTGTGTGCAGTCACACAGAACATGTATGGTACAGGTGGTCCTGTGTGTGTGCGTTCAGTTACATGGAACATGTATGGTACAGACGGTCGCGTGTATGCGCGCAGTCACATGGAACATGCATGGTACAGGCGGTCGTGTGTGTGCGTTGTTACACGGAACATGCATGGTACAGGCGGTCGTGTGTGTGTGCGTTCAGTTACACAGAACATGCATGGTACAGGTGGTCGTGTGTGTGTGCGTTCAGTTACATGGAACATGCATGGTACAGGCGGTCGTGTGTGTGCAGTCACATGGGACGTGTGTGGTACAGGCGGTCGTGTGTGTGTGTGCGTTCAGTTACACAGAACATGCATGGTACAGGTGGTCGTGTGTGTATGCGTTCAGTTACATGGAACATGCATGGTACAGGCGGTCGTGTGTGTGTGTGCGCAGTCACATGGAACATGCATGGTACAGGCGGTCGTGTGTGTGTGTGTATGTGTGTGTGTGTGTGTGGCTGTGGTACAGGTCCAAGGCGACCGACCCAGGCCCCACAGGCAGCCCCTAGCCAAGGCCCTGTGGCCTTGGGCTCCATCACTGTGGAACTCAGGGGCTGGTGGCTCTCAGTGTCCCCAGGCCAGGCCAGCCAGGAGCCCAGCAGTCCAGCCTAGGCTGGGGGGAGGGGACTGCCTGGGGCCAGCCTGCGGGCCTGACTCAGCCGGGAGCCCACTTCCTGCTGGAAACTCTGAGTGGCCGCCAGCACCGAGGCAGGGAAGGGAAGACTGAGTCACCCCGTGGGGACGGTGCCCTCCGCAGCCACACCCGGCCCCTCCGGGCTCCAGTGCCAGCGGCCCGCCCAGCTGGCCCAGCCAGGCCGCAAGGAAATGGAAATGGGGTGGGGGCGGGGCCGCTCCCCACGCCCACTGGAGGGGGCGGGTCCCTGAGCAGGGAGAGCCGGAGGGCCCAGGAATGGACGGCTGCTCCTGCTCCGCCCCAGGGGTCACCTCGCCCTTCCTTCCCGGACCACCTGTCCACCAGGCTGGCCCTCCCTGGGGCCCTTCCCACTGCCTCGGAGGGCTGGTTCCTCCCCAGGCATGGAACCACAAGAGGGAGGTGGGCTGCGTGCCATGGGCCCCGTGGGGCTCCGCCTGGGGATGGGAGCAGAGTCGGGGCAGAAAGAGGCAGCAGAGCAAGGGAGGGTCCCTGTTGCCCACCTAGGGAGGCCCAGCCCTGCCATGCCAGGGGCCCTGTGTCTCTCTCTTCCCAGGCCGCCCTGCGATGCAGAGGCTAGCAGACAGCCCTCGGAGTCCCGGCCCGGCCCCACAAGCAACTCCCCAGTGCAGAGGGCTCGCGACAGCTGGACAGCATGCAGACAGAGGACAGGCGGGGCGAGGTCAAGGGCAGTGCTGAACGCAGGGCCGAGCTGCAACAGGTGGGGCCACACCGACAGCTGGCACCGCCAGTCCAGGCTGCGCCCAGGCTGTACTGGCAGCAGCTATGGGCTCCTTGGCCTGCCCCTACCCAAGGCCCGGTCCCAGGACGCTGGGCACCCTCAGGCTGAGAGGGTGCCACCTGCTGGTGTGAGCAGAACTTGTAGACACACGCATACACACACATGGCCCAACCCAGGCCGCCCTCCCACCCGCCAGAGCCCGGCAGGCAGGGCCAGGATGTAGCTGACCTGTGACTGGGGCCGGCTCCGGGCCTGGCCTGGCCAGGGTCCCCTGAGCAGCAGCAGGCACCACAGGGGTCTCGGGCACCCCCTCCTCAGGGTCCTTCCGGCGGTAGACCCTGCGTTCGTCGCCAGCGGGGTCTTCGGCCAGCCCCCGCTTGGGCGGGCACGCCAGGGGCCCCTGCACAGCCTGCACCCGGGGCCCACGGCGGCGCGCAGGTGTCACCATGGCCACGGGGCGACGCACGCGCTGCAGGGAGGCGGGCACAATCTCCGGCGGCAGGTGCAGGTACTGGCGCAGGTGGGCAATACCCTCGTCAGTCAGGTACCAGTACAGGTGGCGCCAGGCGCAGGTCTCCCGCACCAGGCCGCGCGCCCGCAGGGAGCCCATGGCCCGCGTGACCTGCAGGTTGGTAGCGCCGGGCACATGGGGGTGCAGGCTGTGTGGCCTCCAGTCCTTCTTGGCCACCATCACCCCCTCACGGAACAGCACCTCGTAGATGGCCCGTAGCTGGTCCAGCGGCATGAGCATGCCGGCCACCATGGTTGCCGGGAGTGGGCGGGCGGCGTGGAGGCGAGGACGGCAGACCAGGCCGCGGGGCGTGTGGCTCCAGCGCACGCCGGGATCAGAAGGGACTCCACGGCCGCGCCGGCCGCCGCCTGTGCGCCTCAGGCCCGCCTCCCGACGCCCGCCGGCCCCTCTGACTCAGCAGCAGGGGCGGCACCTCCCGCCACCGCGGCCGCCAGCCCCTCGCAGAGAGGGGCACCGCCGGCAGCGAAGCAGCTGCCCCTGCCCTGTCCCACCCCAGGCCCCCGCGGCTCCAATGTCAGAAGTGACATCAGCTTCTAAACACTTCCTCCGAGGCTCCTAGGGCTGCGGGCCGGGCAGTGCCGACCGAGTCTACCGGGCATGTGCGGGAGGCTGGGGAGCCACAAGGAGACCCCCACAGGGCAGGCAGAGAAGGGAGGGCCAAGCTGGCAGCTGGCATGGAGCACAGAGGCCCACCTGCCAGGGCCAGCCTGGGCCAGCCTCCCTGCGGCAACCCATGCTTCCTTGGCCAGCACAGTGCAGGGGTGGCAGAGCGTTCTCGTGGGGGGAAGGGCTGGGGGTGCCCGCCCCGCCCCTGGCAGCTGGCCCAGGGAGTCCTGCCACCCCCATGCCCTGCACTTTGCTGCCCACACAAACTTCCAGCCCTGAGCCGGCGCCTCAGGGCCCGAGCAAGGACCACGCGGTGACCCTGGGGAGGGGACTAGGCGCCCTATGGGAAAAGCAGAGCTGCCCAGGGCGGGGGGAGGGCCAGCGGCGCCCATCAGCACCAGCCCCGCACGGACGAGGCTCCGGTGCAGGGTGCCCAGGGTGCCCAGGGTGCCCAGGCCCTCCCCCACCCGGATCCCTGGCCGCAGGCTGACACACCCTTTCCCACCACGGCTGATTATAAATAGGGCGGGGGCTCCCGCGGTGGGAGGTGCCGGCCAGCTGGCCCGGGGCCAGGCGGCCGGGTAGGCCTGCGGCTGCGGGGGCTGGGCGCGTTTACAGGCTGTTGCCATGGCTTCGGCGCAGCACACACGCACACGGAGGGGCTGGGCGCCAGTGGAGACTGCAGACACAGCTAACTGCTCCTAGCGACCTCGCTGCCAGCCTTCCCTACCCTGCCCCCACATCCCGCCACACCCTGTGGGCAGGCGGCCAGCCCCCGCAGCACACCAGCCCTGAGCAAGACGGACCACCGGGGCCAGCGAGGGCAGCAGCACTGCCCAGCTGGGCCCGCGCAACTCCAGGCCTGCCCCTTAGCTCACCTGCACTCCCTCCACACATGGCCACCTGACAGGTCCACTCTGGCTTCCGGCCACGACGCCTCGCTATCCACACCCAGGGTCCCACTTGAGGCTGCAGGCGACACAGCTCCCAGACCAGTGTCCCTGGCTGGCCACCCACCCAGCCTGCAGAGGATCCCCCCAAGGGCTTGGTGCAGTGTCCCTGCCCTCTTAGCACTTCGGCCGGGTAGGGTGCTTGCCCCTCCCCGCAGGAGCGGGAACCCCACCCCGTGAGCAGTGGCTGAACACCCGAGGGCTAGGGCAACAGGGCCAGCCCACCCCTGGCCCCTGGGCAGGACAAAGAGCCGTGGTGTGGGCTCGCCCTGGCCAGCCGGCCGGGCGCCTGGCTCCAGCACGCCGCCATGCCCTCCCCGGCACCCTACCGCGCCTGCCCGCCAGAGGAGCCCGCGGAAAGGCCGGGGCGCAGCGCGCTCGCCCCGCCCCGACCCCACAAGCCGCTCCGCCCCCCGACACTGGCTGCAGCAGTGTGGGGCGGCACGGGCGACCTTGACCCCGCAGGACCACCGGGTGGGAGCCCAGGACGCCCCCCGGGCCGCGCTCCGCCCCCCGACACTGGCTGCAGCGGTGTGGGGCGACACGGGCGACCTTGACCCCGCAGGACCACCGGGTGGGAGCCCAGGACGCCCCCCGGGCCGCGCTCCGCCCCCCGACACTGGCTGCAGCGGTGTGGGGCGGCACGGGCGACCTTGACCCCGCAGGACCACAGGGTGGGAGCCCAGGACGCCCCCGGCCGCGCTCCGCCCCCCGCAGCACTGCTCTCTGACAGCTGCTGCTGCGCGCCAGGTCGCCGTGGGCAGTGCGTCCCCGCCTCGGACCCTGCCCGCACCGCACCTTTGAGGGAGCTGATCTCGTGCTGGATGGCTCGCGAGGGGTCCATGCCTCCGCGGGGGCCGAGAGCGGCCCCGCAGTCGCTGCGCGCGGTCCAGCCCCGCACCACACTGCCCAGGCCGGAGCCGCAGCCGGGGAGAGGGGCCAGGAGGCCGGGCGGGGCTTGTCCACCAGGGGCGGGGCTTCGGCTGATCAATGCGCCGGACAGGCGCCAGGGCGCATGCTCCCGCCCAGCCCCCTGCACGGCCGGCTCTTCCCGCCACTCTACCTGGCCAGCGGGGCCGGACACGGACGTGCCCACGGAGGTCTCCCCAGGGACCCTCGTGCGCAGGGCCCATCCCCATTCCACCTGTGCGGGGCAGGTTCCCATCCCACACTCCCCACCCCAGGCGAATCTGGGGGGCCACCTCAGGGATCCTCAGGGCCATCACCAGGGACCCTCATCAGCTGACCAGCCGTCCCGGATCCTGGTGAAGCAGGCGTGGGTGGAGGCTGTGCCCGCATGGGAGGCCCATACCTCTGCTGGGAGTCCGGGACCTGGCCAGCCTGTCTCCTGCCATCCTAGTCCACCTCCTCGTCCTCATCCCAACGCCCTTTCTGGGCACCCAGTCTGTACTCTGCCCAGCCACACATCCGTGTGCAGGGAGCTGCTGGGTGCTACGTCAGGGCCAGCCTCACCAGCCTGGGACCGATTCATGTGGAGGCAGAGGCTCATGTCCAGGGCGAGCTTGAGCCCCAGCACCACAGCCAGGATCTTGCCCCCTGGCAGGCTGGGCTGCTGGGCCAGGCAAGGGAGGAGAGCCACCTGAGCCCATCCCGTGCTGTCCTGTGCAGGTGGGGGGCGTGGGGGGGCTGGGGGACCCACACCGAGGAGACTGGTCACAGGCTGAGCCAGCAGACCCTGGGCTTGGCAGAACCCCCTGTAGCTGGAGGCAGCCAGCCCCTCCCAGGCCCCAACTCCCAGCCAAGCAATCTTTGCCTTCAGGGCACCCCACCTGACCTGCACCATCCCCCCTCACGTGACCTGCACCATCCACCTGACCTGCTCAGCCCACCTGACCTGCACCGTGCCCCCTCACGTGACCTGCACCGTCCCCCCCCCATGTGACCTGCACCATCCACCTGACCTGCTCAGCCCACCTGACCTGCACCGTGCCCCCTCACGTGACCTGCACCGTCCCCCCCCCCCCATGTGACCTGCACCATCCACCTGACCTGCACCGTCCACTTCTCCTGCCTGTCTGCCCAGGCATCTGCCCTCAGCTTCAGCCACAGACCAGCCTTGGCCTGGCATGGGAGGGCAGCCTTCCGCTGTGGCAGAGCACAGCTCTGCAGCCTGAGGAACCTGGACGTGCCAGCGAAGGCCCCTCTGCCTCTCTCCCCTATAGTCCAGCACGGAGGACAGCTGACGCCGGGGCACATGCCCTCCCACCTGGGGGTCTCTGGCCCCTTGGAGGGCCCCAGCATCTGCACCATCACCCCCAAACACCTCACACCAGCCCCGTTCCCACCCCCTTCCCTGCAGCACGGCAGGCCCGGCCACCGCGGGACCTCACCAACGCTGTGGCCTCCGCTACGGACGCACAGTGGCTGAGGGCTCCCAGGGCTCTGGCCAAGGTGCGGGAGGGCACCCAGCAGTGCAGCCTCCATCCGGGACACCCGCATGCCGTGTCCCTACACCCGGCTCGAGGCCCAGCGCCACACCAGTGAAGGCTTCACAGCAGTGAAGGCTCAAGTGGCTGAAGTGATGGCTCAACCTAGCTGAGGCCCAGCCTCAACCTGGCCAGCTCCTCTGCTTTTGAAATGGTCTGGCCCAGGGCGGGCATTCGGCTGGGCAGCTGCCGTGGGCATCTGAGGAGGTGGCCAACAGATGGAGGGCTCATCTGATGTCTGGCTCAGGAAAACGGAAACGATAATAAGTAATAATTTGAAGGAGCCCCACAGATGCGGACACAGCGGCAGGGGGACGGGTGTGTGGGAAGAGATGGAGGCTGTGAGGGCACCGGAGGTAGGCACGGCTCTCAGTCCAGCGCAGGACCGGGGCTGCTGCTGGCACTGCCACCCACCTCTGCAGGGGTCTGCCGTCTACAGTGCTGGCATCCAACACGGACGCCAGTTCGATTCCCAGCTGCTCCACTTCCAACCCGGCTCCCTGCTGACGGGCCCGGGAAAGCAATGGATGGCCCAAGTGCTTGGGGCCTTGTAGCCACGGGGGACACGCAGGAGTGCCAGGCCAGCCAGGCCTTCCCTCCGCAGCTATCGCCACTTGGAGAGTGAGAAGGGAAATGGGATCTACAGAGAGGAAGATCTATCTGCTGGTTCACTCCCAAGTGACCACAACGGTCAGAGCTGAGCTGATCCAACGCCAGGAGCCAGGCGCAGGGTCCCAAGGCTGTGGGCCGTCCTCGACTGCTCTCCCAGGTCACAGGCAGGGAGCTGGATGGGAAGTGGAGCTGCCAGACCACAAACTGGCACCCACATGGAATCCTTGCCTCTGTACGGGTAGTATTTAACTATTGAGCCATCACATGTAGCTCTAATTTTTTTTCTTTCTTTAATAAAAAGGAGGTGTGGCTTGAACTCAAGCACTGAGAGGTGGGACGCAAACGCACAGCAGCTCACTCCGCAGAACCGCGACACCAACCCCTACAAGACAGTTCTCGGACAACTGTGAGGGAGAAGACGCCCTCTGCAGCAAAGCAGCCCCAGGCCGCCCTGCAACAGGCACAGGCAGACCCGCGCAAGGACAGCCTGCCTCCACCATGACCACCGCTGCTAAAAGCTGAGGTGTGGCCCCCCTACCGGCTGCGCGCCAGGCCCATCAAGCATTGCCTCGCAGACCCACCTGGCTGGCTGCAGTCTCCGGAAGCTGCTGTGCCGAGGGTTGGCAGGTGTCGGGGGCAGGAGACCACTCGTCCCAGGCTCTGGCAAAGGACAGTGGCAC